CATCATCAGTCATCAACATCATCCTCACCATCAGTCATCAACATCATCATCATCAGTCATCAACATCATCAGTCATCAACATCATCATCATCAACATCATCATCATCATCATCATCAACATCATCATTATCATCATCATTATCATCATCATTGATTTACGCATGATTTACATCTCACCTTTTGACATTTATTCGATATATACGAGAACAAGTAAAATGGCCGATCCGTAGGCAAAACGATCTGTTGGTCCCAGTCCCCAGATGTACTGCAACAGTACTCGATCTTAGTGTCTTCGCCATATCGACCCTCAGGGAGGGAACCACCGGCAGAGTTTTGATTATCCTTGTTCTCGTCATCCCAGATGACGAAACCGCTTTCCATGCCATCAGGACATCGCGGGCCCTTTTTGTATATACAGTATTTTCCATCAGGCCATCTGTATCGAGAATAGTAAAACACAAGATTTACTTTATGCAGCAAAATCTATAGCTTTCAGTCCCACGTAAGATTCATCTTAGGGTGCATTTTAAATGATTGCGGAAGGGCTTACAGCACGTACGGTCACTTTCACGGCACGGTCACTTTCACATCACGGAACTGGCGAAATTCGTTAAAACTAACACAATATTAATCCAATCAGAATGGGGTCACGTTAATAACGGTCACGGCACGTCTCGTATTCCGTGGGTTTTTAACAGTAATACGTATTTAGCTTAATTATTTTTATTTCATGTTTTTGACTTACTTTCCATGGCCATGTGGGTTTGTCTTCATGCAAAACTCTTGTCTGATTCCATCGTCACTGACTTTCCCCGCCAAATGATAGCTATCAGAGCGTTGGTTTTCTGTTAAATCGTCTTCAGTGTCATGGAAACGAAAACCTGTTTCCCATTTAAATCCCGAACTCGAGGGACATCCCGTGATAGGTCTTGGTAACCCGTATGTACCCGCGGGCCAGCTAGGTTTTTCAGCTGAAAGTAAATTTAGCTTTTCTTAAAATTTGATTCAAATATTAGAATACTCAGGGGAATGAAACAGGTGTGCATGGTATGTCAAAGCCGCCATGTTGGTTGACGATAACAAAGCATTCCTCATTAGTTTCTCTCTTTAGATCAATCAACATGGTGGCTGTTTCATTGTTATGTATATATCATTGTTATTCTATATCTTATCTATTTTGAGTCAGGTGGTTGCCGACCCCATGAATTGACCCATTAACTTCTCTCGTTAGTCCAATCAACATGGTGGCTGTTTCATTGTTATGTATATCTCAATGTTATCTATATCTCATCTATTTTGAGTCATGAGGTTGCTGGCCTCATGAATTGATCCATTAGCTTCTCTCGTTAGTCCAATCAACATGGCGGCTGTTTCATTGTTATCTATATCTCAATGTTATCTATATCTCATCTATTTTGAGTCGTGTAGTTGCTCATCTCATTGACCCCAAGAATAGACCCAGTCTTTTTATGTTTCTCACCTTTCTTAACCTTGTGTTCTCCCTTCTTTAAGTGTACAATATTCCTTGCTCTATCACTCCCACCAGATCTTTGTTTCTTGTCCTCTTCTATCAAGATATCCTCAAGACTGATATCTCTTTTATTCTCTTGTTGTGGCGGAGAAGGCCTGGGGAAAATGAAGTCTGGTTTGCGAAAGGCGCTTCGTTTCCATGGAAACACGGTACTGTCATCGCTGTCTTCAGAACGTTTAGTTTCTAGTTTACCAACCTCGCGAACGTCTGGGTTAGGCATGTGCCAGACATATAGAACTGGAGCTGTGGAATGGAAAATGAGACAGGTTTTATTGAAATAATTTTAAAATGACCGCCCGTTCGTCTGTTCATTTTTTCACACACTATTCCTCCCTCCCTTATTCATACATTCCATTTCTAAATAAATCACTCAATAATTACGCCAAAAAATTCATTCATTCTCATTTATTCCTTTCTTTCTTTCTTTCTTTCTTTCTTTCTTCCTTCCTTCCTTCCTTCCTTCCTTCCTTCCTCCCTTTATTCATTAATTAATTCAGTTTTTTGGTCGTTCGTTCATTTCTTTATATATTTTCTTCTCGCTTATTTCATCTATATTTTTAGTTTGTTCATTTATTTAAGTCTAGATCATTCTTTTCATTTTTATTATTCCCATTATTCATTCATTTCTCACTTTCTATTACGTGACATGACGTAGTACCCAATCTTCAGATAATACATTATATATTTAACAACCGCCCAAACGCACCAAAACACTCACCCGCCCTTAACCAACACACACCACGCTTCATTTCACCGACCAACCGATCCGTATTCAACAAATCTAGAAATATTTTCACCATGATGTCAAAACAGACGAATCGAACGAAACATTCCATTCCTTTTAGTTCAGTGTTGGTATGGGTTTTTGGTATGGAATGGCTCAATGCCTGAACCATTCTAATACATGCATAACTGATTACAGACTCTAGAGCTTCTGTATTCACCGCTAAGGGGGATTTCTATGGGGAATGCCTTTTTCACATGTACTAGAACCTTCCAAAAAATATTTTTTTAAGAATCTCCCTTCGTCCTTTTAAAATCATTTTGATTATTATCAAGTACTTTAACAATTTGTTTGCTTTAAATTCAAATTCAAAATTCAATTCAATTTAACTTTCACCAAAATGAATATTATCTCAAACTACGTCCAATATGGCTGCCAAAAACGAGTTTGTCCGACTTTTATAAAAATAGACTTTTTAAAGAAATACGAAAAATACACGTACAAATTATCATAACTTTGTTAAATGTCACCTAAAGGTTTCTTTTAAAGAAAGTTTGGTCTTCTGTTTTATTTGTTTATCTTATTTATTAACTAGTTTACATTTTAGACTCTTTCAAGATGGCGGCCACCATGATTCAAATTTCACGCTTTTGTCAAGATATTTTATTTCAAATACTCTCTCGTTGTACTAAACTTCTGAAGATCCAGACTGAAAAGATATAATACTGTTATACTAATTCACATGTTTCATGTTGTGGGGGTAAAACGCAAAAATAAACTAAGATTCAATTTAAATTTTTTCTTATGAAAGAAAATGTATTCCGAGAATGTCGAGAATAAAAGTTGGCAATTGAAGCTTTTGCAGGTGACACCGAATTCTGATTTAATTTCATTTACGAGATGACGAAGATTAACCGACCTTTGAAAGATTTACACTACAAATTCATTGGGTAGAAGAATGTTCTGGAAGACAGTAGCGGGTTCAATGGGTTTGTTTGTAGAGTTATTTTGAAGGCAGCCAGCGTGAAGAAGTGACATGTTTTCGCAGGAATGCATAATATTTTGCTTATTTTCTTCAAAGGGCTGGATATTCTTAATTAAATTTATGATCAATTCAACGACTATTAACAAACTTTGAAAAAAGATATTTTACGCGACATGGGATACCTGTGTTGATACCGTCAGCTCCAAGCTCACCAAATATCTTCCACAAGAATAAGTTTAATTATTTTCTTTTATTCGTTTTCAAGCATTCGCTTATCATTTTTCGGCCTTTTCCAGATATTTAATGGGTTATAAGGTAATGAAGAATATCTGATATGATTGCATCCCCCTATAGGATAATGACCTACCTTGGTGGTCGACAACAAACAGTGTCAGCTCCACTAATACTACAAGAAAAGCTTTGGACAAGAGCTTCATTTTGTTGAACTAACTGGCAAATTAATACTCATGTTTGCATTCTTCTGTACCTGAAATGATAAATGAATAAAATTAATAAGCCTGAATTGTAATGCAGTCGAAATACCTCTTCTCTTACTTTTCTAATGTTTCCCCATTTCAAGCTGCTTGGGAATTAAATACTAATGAAGTAATAATAAAAATAAACTTTCTTTTAATGATGGTGATGATGATAATGATGATGATGATGTTGATAATGTTGAAAATGATGATGATGATGTCAATGATGATGATGATAATGTTGATGATGATGATGAAGGTGATGATTATGACGATGTTGATGATGATAATGATAATGATGATGATATTCTAAACGGCTAACATTGCTATTTGTTCTCAATTGGAAATACTTTTGCTAAAGTAATTTAGGTTGTGTACAAATACGTACATACTGGATTATAAAAAGACATAATATAAGACACTCAATTTTGCAACACTTGTAATGTATAAACTTAATTTTAAATTTGTAACAAGTTAGTATTAGTAAATTGGTGTTGTTCTTTTAAGCTTATCTCTGCTTTGACTTTCATATTTTCATATTTGTCATTATCTTCCAAATTGTTCCAATTCAAAGTCAGTATGTCGAGCAAGTTCAAAATCAGAAGACACACCTACTTCAATTCTAACGTCAAACCCTCAAATCGTAGTTTGCTTTACTTAAAGATTAAAGAATTCCATGGTTTTAGCCACAAAACAAGTTAAATCTTCAATTATTTTGGTTGTGTGCAACCAAACATTTATCTTCAAAGAAATTGCGACGTTTTTAGATCGATCTTAATCGGTTTATAACTTGATTTGTATGAAATTTTTACTCGCTTCTGCTCATAATCATGAGGATTTCAATCATACGGGATCACGAAAATTATAATTATTGAAGTAAACCTTCGTTTTAAGGAGTAAAAAAGACATGAAATAGAAAATGAACTCACGAGCGCAAAAATAAACGTAATTATTCTTTAAATTGGAAATTACTGCGAAAGCGTTCTTCTCAATAAAACTATTTAATAACCTTGGAAATAAGCAGTGGTTAGAAATGTCCAGGATTACGTTCAGAATATAAGATTCACTAGAACAGGAATTTAGGAGATATATTTAAAATACGTAGATAAAAAGACCTAATGAAGCAACTGAATTGGAAAGTGTTATTTCAAATTGTCTTTCGATCAAGTGAACAACTCATAATAATAGTCGATGGGGGACAAACTAATTTTAAAAAAATTAATTAATATTGAAATTGAAATCAGACTTACCATAAATTGAATCAAGAATCAATCATTTTTTCGTCGTGAAGATTTTCTCTTTCTCTCTATGAATAAGTTATTGTGTTTTCTTCACACTACCAGGAGAAGGAACCCGTTCGTCGTGTACTTAAAACAGGTTGATTTGTTACGTCACATCCTTATTCTTGCTTGTTGGTTTTCCCGCCAAGCGAGGTACGCGTCGACGCTTGTGCAAGCAAGCGGAAGTAAAACTCTTCACCTCGACCAAACAATTTAATATTGAATGGCGAGTATTGGACTTGATCAAATGAGGGATCAAGGGTTTGAGGTCAACGGTTAGTGAAGTCTTACGCAATAACATCCATCGGGGTTACCCGCGAGATTCCAAAAGCCTTCGGACTAGAACATTACCCTGCATATAATCCGTACATCGAGGGTGGATCGCCCTTAATTGCCGTCAGGTCCGAAGTCTGTACGGCGCCTCGCCTCAGCTAATTGAATATTTTGCCGACTTTTTTAGGCATTTCGGATTGGTTGATTGATAATCAAATTGAATTTCTCGTGCGCCAATTTCACAATCTCTTAACTAGCTCATGCGCAAAATTTTTTTTCATTCGACATTTTTCCAAAAGCTTGTCTCGTATTGTTCTGGGAATATCATTTCATTATCTTGAAATACTTGGCGACTATCTAGTGATATTGACCTCGAGTTCGGTCAATAACACGGTCGATATTGAGACTTCTAGACAGAACATTTTAAACCTATTGTTGAACCTACAGTAAATAATATTATGTTATCCATACAACCACTAGCATCAAACACGTGATTTAGGGGCCTTAAAATAACTCGTAACGTCACTAACAAATATTGAAATTGATCAAAAACAACACAGACAGGTCGGGGTTCAAAGGAAATAAAAACCGAGAAAAGGTTGAAGAAAAAAGAAGAACAAGGAAAATTTGGAGAGAAATCTCTAGGTCATGTGATCTGCTTGGTGTTTAGTCATATTGTCCAGTTCATTGAAGCAGAAGTGATCCCCTTTGAAATTGATCTTCGAATTGAACAAAAAATCATCAACAATCAACAGGTATTTCTTTAACACGGAAGAGGGTGCTCCATCAGAGAAGATTTCGGAGAGTTTAAACCATATATTTCTTGGTAAGTGAAGTCAAACTGTGGTTGATTTTTAGTGATATAATTCCGTGGTTTTCAAATATTTGAGATAAAAATAGTTAGAACAAATTTAGCAAAAATGTACAAAGAGTAAAATTCAAGAGATGCAGCTATCGATAAAACAAGGCTACGCTCTTTAGGAGAATAACCTCTTTATGAAATCTAAATATTTAAGTATCATTGTTATAAACGTACGAACTTGAAATTTGAAATGCGAAAGTAGTGACGCCTTGTACGATAAGAATAGAAACTAAGTGAGAAAAAGGTGCCAAAATATGAAAACGACGTAAAAATATAGCTCAAATTTTTTTTCATTCGACCGAGGAAAAATAAGAGATCATCAAACAAACCTACAAGTGAAGAATTTCGGCTCAAGAATTTATCGAGTAGAAAAGAAGAATATCGGCGGAAAAACAAAATGCTGTAAAAAGTCGTCGAAAAAGAATTTGTTTTTATATGGATTATTATTGACGATTTGCTCGTTTAACGGTGTGTTAATYTTAGAGAAAGCAAGTATTTGTTGACGGGTGGTCGCTAACCTGTGAATATCAGGCGTAGGTAAGGAGGTGGTCGCTTATAAACAGCGTGCTTCTTCAACAGAAAGACGACGTTTGGAACCAATGCTTTAACCTCGCTATACCCAGACAATAATTAATTCTTGTTTTAGTTTAAACCACCTTGATGTACTGGGAGCAATGCCAAAAATTTTTGTCGATTGTTATCCTCGAAATTTTTGATTTACAATTTAAGTTTTCGAATATATCGATATTTTGATATATTATATATAAGGGGTATACACCTAATTCAAAAAACGTTGTCATCGCAAAAGGAGAAAAACGATAGGAAATATGTCATTCCAAGATCCAAGAATAGCTGGAATGACTTGTGTTCCTGCTTCTTATTTTCGTCAAGAACATGGACCTTAGTGTTGAGACTGATTCAATGTTCTTTGTGTTCAACGAAACCAATTCCATGTCGGAATGACCTATCGCCTTTGGCAATGACAACGTTTTTTGAATTAGATGTATATATTTTATTCTGGCATCGTGAAATTCTTTAATATCATGTAAATGTTTATCTAGGCCATTATGGAATAAGACGGCAAATAGTTCAAGACTACCATGCTGTTTCTCGGTCTGTGCTGCGTTCTGATACTAGCACATACCACAGGTAGGACCAACTTGTAAATTCATTTATTAATCAATGTATAATATGATTAGATGTAATAGTGTAATAGTAAAATTTGTGAATAGTTTGATGATGAAATAAGGCCAATCCTGAGTGCTTATTACTTTTTGATTAAAAAAAAAACATGTGAAAAGGAAAAAGGAGCGACCGAAAGAAATAATACTCAAGGGAATGCCAAGTGGTCTTAAAGGGGAAATAATGCGCCATAAGAAGGTCCTTTAAGGATTCAAACTTTACCCAAACCCATTACTCGTACATAACTTTTTTTTCGCAAATTATTCCACACATATTCAAACAAAGTTTTCTAACCTTTCTCGCCATGTTTTGTCGACCAGGAGGTGTAGAATGGCCTTCGGGTAAATATGGACTTCCCAAACCAAAGTCCGGCTGCCCAGAGAACTGGATGGAGGGGAGGAGGTTCACAAACRCTGAGGAGTTGAACTCCAACAGCCGTCAATTCAAAGACTGGTTTCATCTTTCAGGTTTTGTTAGCACTCAAGGTAATTGCTTAGTCCCCTTCACAGTTCCCTGTGCCATCTTGAAAGATAGCCGTGCCTTTGCATCGAAGTGAGACGAACAGTGAGCTTGCAATGATAGAGACATGTAAATAATTGTCCAAGGTGTTAAAAAAGGTCTCTATCATTACAAGCTCACCGTTCGTCTCGCTTCGATGCAAAGGCACAGCTACCTTTCAAGATGGCGCAGGGAGTTGTGAAAGGGACTAGTGCTTGTTCACTGAGTTCACATGACGCCATTTCCTGTCTCGTGCGAGCTAATTCTTTCAGCACATGGTGATCAGTGTTTGACCATCGTTTCAGTCGAAGCAGATAACGAGATTCAAAGCCTTTTATTAGCTGATTGAAACCCAGTACTTACCGTACTTGCTCCCGCGGTCCAGCGGTATTCCAAATCAGTGGACATTGAAGTGATCCTGTCTGCACGATTGAGAGAAAATATATCTGTTATGGAAATAAAATGCTAGCTTCTAACTTTGTAGATTTACACATTTCCCCCCCCAGGAGTTGAGCAAGAGTTTTGTACTAAAACGTCAGACGAAGGCAGTGGAACCTGGCCTTCAGGGCGATACTGCATACTAAAAGGAGGGAAGTGTCCTCATGGACTGGTAGAGGGGTAAGTGATAAGAATGAAAGAAAATGGGGGAAAATAAAATGAATGAACGAAACTGACGAACAGACATAACACAAAATGTGACTAAAAAGGTCCCGTGGTGATTTGCGCGCTCTGCTATTCCAAGATGTAGATCGAGAATTTAATGCTTAAATTGCGCGTTGTCTACAACGAAAGCGTCGGTGGTATAATGGTCAGCATAGCTGCCTTCCAAGCAGATGATCCGGGTTCGATTCCCGGCCGACGCATTCATTTTCGTTACTTTTCTTTTCCTTTTTCGTTTTAAGAAATGTCAAAAGACATGAATTCAATTAAACATGGCCAGTACCTTAGCTAGCGCAGTTACAACGCTGCGGGAATAAGCTTTATTTTTCACTTGCGTTCAACGTGAACAAAAATCGTGCCTAAAAAGGTCCCGTGGTACTTTGCGAGCTCTGCTATTCCAAGATGTAGAACAAGAATGTTATGCTTAAATCGTGCGTTATCTTCAACGAAAGGGTCGGTGGTATAATGGTCAGCATAGCTGCCTTCCAAGCAGTTGATCCGGGTTCGATTCCCGGCCGACGCATTTATTTTCGTTACTTTCTTTTTCCTTGTTCTTTTAAAGAAATATATCAAAAGACATGAATTTCATTAAACATGGCCAGTACCTTAGCTAGCGCAGTTACGACGCTGCGGGAATAAGCTTTATTTTTCACTTGCGTTCAACGTGAACAAAAATTGTGACTAAAAAGGTCCCGTGGTTCTTTGCGCGCTCTGCTATTCCAAGATGTAGATCGAGAATGTAATGTTTAAATTGCGCATTACCTTCAACGAAAGCGTCGGTGGTATAATGTTCAGCATAGCTGCCTTCCAAGCAGTTGATCCGGGTTCGATTCCCGGCCGACGCATTCATTTTCGTTACTTTTCTTTTCCTTTTCCTTTTTAACAAATATGTCAAAAGACATTAATTCAATTAAACATGGCCAGTACCTTAGCTAGCGCAGTTACAACGCTGCGGGAATAAGCTTTATTTTTCACTTGCGTTCAACGTTAACCATCCAAATGATTTCACAATATCACATCGAGATATTGTCGCGCAAATCTTAAGAACTTGGAACCACTTACTTAGTTTTCAGTTTCAAAGTGTGAAAATTACATTGTCATCTTTTAAAGCTGATGCGTAAAGATTATGTTTGACTCAAAACATCCCACAGTACTTTGTACACTGCATGCCATTAAGATAGAAACTAAGAATGAAACTTGTTGTCCTTTAAAAAAATTCAACAGCGAAAGGAATTAAAAAAATTAAAATATCATCCCACATTTTCTTTCGCTAACTTCATTCCATTTAGTTTGCAATCAAAAATAAAATATTCAAAGCTATTAAAGCTATTTGTTTCTCTTAACCAGTAGCTTAGCCATGGCTTGCTTGTTTCTAACGTGAACATCTAAAATATTTCACAAGATACAGAAAGCATTGAACTAATGACGCATAATAACAATGCTCTGTTTCGAAGATTTCTCATCACTCAGAATATACCACAGTGCTTTGCGTCCTTCATAACAAAAAAATGACAATAAAACTCTTAAAGTAGCATCAAATACTATCGGAAGCGTCGGTGGCATAATGGTCAGCATAGCTGCCTTCCAAGCAGTTGATCCGGGTTCGATTCCCGGCCGACGCAACTATTTTTCGTCCAATTACTTTTCTTCTGACAGAATTTTTTWAAAATTTAAATTCTTTCTTCAATCATCTGTTTCAAAATAATAAAATGATGTTTTTATATCTCTTTGAGAGTAAAGCTTAAATGTTTTTGCTTATGATTATTTTACCTCAATTTTAGATGAATTTTTCTCTAAATTTTTTTTCATCAACTAGCAGTAATATTCTATATTTTTCAAATAATTTTTCTTAGCAATATTCCAAATTTTTCAAATAATTTTTATAGTAACATGCTTTATTTTTCGATTAATTTTTATCCCGGACAGAGCAGACTATAATACATTTGACACATATGCACTCGATTTGTAGTTGTCTACAGGCGCACTCATACCAGGTGACCTTTCATGTGTTTCTATTGACCTCACATGCAATGATACGAATGGGCTGCGTTGCTTGCTGGTCAGTGGTTGTTACGAATAAACAAAAAGAAAAGTCTTACCTTTTTAAATATTTTCTCTCAGGTACATCCATTGGAGAGACAAGAACTACCTGAATCAGAAGTACGACAAAGCAGCGGTTATACCACAGAAAGATAAGAAAGTTGAATATTGCTGTAATGCTAATGGTAAGAAGTTGAATCAAAATATGTATTTAATGTTATTGTTTTTGGCATATTGCCCCCTTATATGGAAGTTCTTGTTGTCTGTCTGTCTGTCCGTCCGTCCGTCTTTCTTTCTGTCTGTCTTTCTTTCTTTCTCTCTTTCTTTCTCTCTCTCTCTTTCTCTATGATAATCTATCTATGACTAACATGGTTCGTGTTGTTGACACTTTGCTTCGTCTATGCATAAACGACTTAAATCAAAGCAAAACTCTTANCTTTCTTTCTTTCTTTCTTTCTTTCTTTTTGATGGCCAGTGTATTTATCTGCTCGTTTGTAAATGATGAGTAAGTCAATTAGGAATAAGGTCAAAGCAATTATCATCTAACGTGACATGGTTTAGAGGGGATGGGTGGATTTATCCGTTACCCAACACCTCTGAAGTGAAATCCTGGATTTTGTCCTCAAATTTATCTCAAAAACCAAAGTCAAATCGCAGAACTGAATATACTGGGGTTTTTTTCGTGCGTGTATGTTAAACAATAACGTCAGTTGTGTATAGAAAAAGTTAGTACAGTCACGCAGCATTGAGCATTACATCAGGTCTCTGCTGAGGGGGAGAAGGGACCCATCACTTGAATCAATAAAGTCATTTCCTTAATTGCCCCATTTAATTATGACGTCACATCAAAACAATCTATTGTTTAAACGCAAAGGATCATGGCCGTCGGAGGGGGTCAAATCAACTCAAATTCACCGAAAATTGTTCTAAAAACCGTATCAATCCACGAAGAGAAGTAGAATAGCCAGCAAACGCTCAGAATATTTTTTAGTATATATTAACACATATAATATCTGAAAACCAGGCCATTTTAGATTAAACTGTTTCGCTAGGAGCAAATTTTGTTGAATTTTCTATTGGATTTGGCGATTCTATCCCCCACATGAACAAGCAGTGATGTCATAGTGAAATAGGACAATTCAAACCATTGTTTTGACCTTACCCCTTATCAAGTCTGTCTGTCTGTCTGTCTTTCATCCATACTGATAATAATGTATATATAGGTCAACCTACAAAGCCAATAGTATTACCGTTGAACAAGCCCTTCTATCTGTACGCGTACGGCAGCAGTGACTGTCAAGTCGTCAAAGGAGCGCAAGTCAAGAAAGAGCTCGTTCATTTTGAGATGAACACAAAGACCTTTCATCAGGGAGAGGGTGGAGCACATCCATTCCAGGGTGGTCTAGGGAATAGTAATCATCGACTGACGTACTGTTATTATACACCAGGTAATTTACATAAATAGCGCTTAAAAAAATTTAAAAAACTTTTTATAAATTGTTAATATCCGAACTTACTTTGTGTCCTCTATGTTTGGCTACTTGGAAATTTAAAAAATTAAATGCGTCGGCCGGGAATCGAACCCGGATCAACTGCTTGGAAGGCAGCTATGCTGACCATTATACCACCGACGCTTCCATGGTTCCCAATGGCGTAATTACACATACCATTATAGGTCGCATTCTCTTACCCAGCCCCTATTCCTTTCAAAGTAAATCGTATTCTCTACTTTCACATCCCCATATTGCCTTGCGTCTTTGGGGGGTAACGAATCAAAAAACTGTCCCAAATTGAAAGGTTTCTTTATTGAATTTATACTATGCCTGCTTTTATCTGTACAATACTGATTATCAGTTTATTCCAAGTTATTTTTGCGTGTACAGATCATCAAGAGTTTTGGTTTTACAGAAAATGTATTGATTTGCGAAAAAATGTTTAAAATTTACCTTAAACGTCTTCAAGTTTCTATCTTTTTCTGTTTTTTACTTCTTCATTTTATTTTTGGATACCAAACAAGGTATTTTCAACATTGTCTGATCAGCCTTCAGAAAAATAAGTGGGTTTTTACCCTCTGGTTACCCCCCAAAGACGTAAAGTATTATGGGGATGTGAAAGTAGAGAATACGCGTAGGCCAACCCCAAAATTTCAATTCATCTGATTGAGTGAGCGGCATAACAAAGCCGCTATTTTTAGCTTGGTATGTGAGAATAGTTAATTATTATCATAGTGGTAGCAAAGATTGCAGTTGAGCATGCGCTCTGTCGATCTGGTCGCATGTTTTTGGCTTCTGGTCTTTAGAGCCTACGATTTGGCTAATGAGTAGGGTCTGGGTACGAAAACGTTAGGTCGATTTATATGAGTTTACCTGATGTTTCAAATCTTTCAGTAAAGACACAAATCATCCAGGATGGAGGACAAGAAGTCGAGAAAGCCTTTTTCACAAACGTAAGTCGAACAGGAACACTTGTATTTAACTTCACATGATTGTAGCTGGGATTCCTGTGGAATAGAAAAGAAGAAAAAAGAATGGTGAATAACGCTTTCGTTGTTTATATTTTAGGATGAGCTTGATAATAAGTCCCAGTCCTCCGCGTTAGCAGTAGCAATAGGAGTGGGCGTGGCCTGTGCTTTAATGGGAACAGCGACAATAGCTTTCTTTGCTAAACGTCTTATTGGGAAACGAGATGATGACGATGATGATGACGACACTCCGAGACCTGACAACTAAACTGCGATAGGTCACGTGACGACCATTATCATAATAATGGGAGATATTATTATGTATATTAAGTTGAGCCTAAGTTTCTTTGGTCAGCGATTACAAACAGAAAGTCTGGGGAAATCCAAGTTCAGGCGTGACTTTTAATTGGCTAATACAACAATGAATTTTAACCGGAAGTCAATGTGAATCAAAGTTGTACAGGAAGTAATAGAACTTAGTGCCAGTCCACCTCTGCTTCCGGCTTGTTCGTTTATAATTGCTGTCCAAAAGGAACGAAGGCTCAGTTACAAAGATGACAATGCAGCGTTGTACTTTGCTATGCGCAGATAGTTAAATTACAGCCATTCTATAAGAGTAGTACGCGAAAAGAAATGGTGAAGTTTGATGTAAAGAGACCATGGATTTATTATTCAAGATCATTATAGATTATCGCAATAATTTTTCATTTGTTATTAAATGAATAGGTCTGCTTCGAAAAGTTTGTAGTATATAGTGTTGTTTTGTTCAACTCTCTTAAAGCACTATCCGTGTACTTTGTACTTCAGAGATTAAGTGTAGGGTAGGGTAGTAGTAGCGCACTCAGACTCCTCTCTCCTCTGGGGTCTCGGGTTTGATTCCTGAACTCAACATAGTGATCACATGTGAGTAGAGTTTCTTAGTTCTCTCCTTTGCCTTCAAGGGTTTTTCTCCGGGTTCTCCAGTTTTCCTCCTTCCCCAAATTTAACACGCTAGATTTCAATTCGATCTATGAGCTAGCCGACTTAACCGCGCATGACTTAGATCCCAGAGGTTGTTTCAGGGTTCAATAAACTTTCATGCAAATACAATCTATCCTATGTCTCTCCTCCCTTGTAACAATCCGTTGTTCCTTTCTATTTCTCCGTCTCTCTAAATTTCACATCAGATGAAAACAAAACACGAGGAAAGCAGAAACGCGCGAATTGAACGTCGGCACTGACGCAAAAGATGAAAGAGGATGAATGTAAATAGATTAGTAAAGATACGTGATTAGCTTCAAAACAAAAATCGTGTATTTTTTCGACGAGAAAACTGACGATGTTTCATCACTTTTATTATTTTCTCTACTTAAATCCTCTAAACAGGTGAAAAACAAAATATTATTGTTTCTAAGTATGAACACCGCATTCTCATTCGAAGAGATTCTCGAACTGGAGCAAACACTAGCATGTCATATTGTGATGAAATCAAAAACATAAACTTCGAATGAAAAGAAACGTGCTTCGAGAGACGTTCGCTCGAAGTCGAGTTAAGCAAGTTGGGTTGACTAACTGTGAAAAGCGTTTAAAAAAGGAGTGTCCTCTTGGACGAAAGGGAAGGAACGAACACTTATTGGTAAGTTTATAATTAAGCAATTACAATCAAGTTAAACCTGAAAAATCTGATTTGATCTTTTGAACAAACAAGACAAACAAAGCTCCAAAACTATGTACAAAGACTTTGAGGTTTATTTATCATGAATTTAGGGCAAAATGTTACGAAATTTATTTTTTAAATTTCAAAAAGATTTCGGCCAACTTTAAATTTTATTAACTTTAAACAAACGAATAAATACATATATACATGTATCTACATATATATGTATATTTAGATTGTAGTTTTTGACTGAAGTACAATCATAGTATTATATGACACAATTATATTATACGGTACAATCATAGTATTATATATACATTGAGGTTTATTTTTAACTTAGGGTCAAAATTCTACCAAATAATTTTTTAAATAATTTCACAAAATTTTCAACCCACAGATATTTTTTTATTTAGTTTATTTGTGACGGATTTAAAATATATATCTTTCTACCTCTTTGTTCATTGTCTTGTAGCTCTGCAATAGTTTGCTTTCGTAACTGATTAATACTAAGAAACGTTCCTAATTCGAAAAGGAACAAAGGATTCAAATGGCATTCTCACCACCTCTACCCTATAATATTTTTTAGTCGTTTCGCTTTGTACAATATATGGCATTGGCTTTTAATTTTATAATTATATAGTTTTTATTCCGTGTTTTACGTGAAATCATATAAGAGGGTGCCAATGAAGTAGTTGACTAATAATTGGGGCCAAAAAAAAGTAGTTAACTGACAAATAACCTAACATTAGTAGTTGACAGTTATTTTATTATTTTGTTTAATATTATGGCCAGCGCTCGTCAATGTTTTACAGTAATTGACATTGGGCCGAAAAATTAGTAGTTAAGGTGACTGCCTACTTTTGGAAATTGATTTAA